AGTAGCCCTTTGTCTGAGGAGCAGCTGGTAAATTTTTTTTTCCATATGGTAGGTTGTCTCTTAGTTCTGTTGATGGTTTCTTTTGCAGTGCAGAAGCTTTTTAATAAGAAAAGATCCCAGTTATTGATTCTTTCTGCTAGTTCCCATGCTGCTGAGGATTTGTTCATAAAGTCTTTTCCTATGCCAATGTCTTCAAGAGTTCTGTCTAACATATGTTCCAGCATGTTTAGTGTTTATGGTTTAATATTTAGATCTTTAATCCACTTGGATTCTAGTTTAGTGCACGGTGAAAGATAACGGTCTAATTTTAATCTTTGGCAGGTTGAGATCCAGTTTTTCCAACACCATTTATTGAAGAGGCCATCCTTACTCCAGTGGGGACGGTCAGCTCCTTTATTAAAGATGAGGTAGCTGAGTACATCTGGAGTTGTTTTTGTGTCTTCAAAGACTGATTCTCAGGTCTGTTTCTTTGCCAGTACCGTGCTGTTTTCAATCACAGTGGCTTTGTAGTATAGTTTCAAATTGGGAATTGTTATACCTACTGCCATTTGTCTGTTGCCTGGGATGGCTTTTGGTATTCGAGGTCTCTTCTGCTTCCAAATGAATTTTTGGATTCCTCTTTCTAGTTTCTAGTGTTGGAGTTTAAATTGGCATTGCATTGAATCTGTATAGCTTTTTTGTTAGTATGGCCATTTTCACTGTGTTGATTCTTTCTACCTAAGAGCAGGGGATATCTTTCTATTTTCTTATATCCTCTTCAATCTCTTTTTTCAGAGTGCTATAGTTTTCAGTGTAGAGGTCTTTTTCTTCTTTTGTTAGGTTGATTCCTAGATACTTCATTTTTTTGGCTGCTGTTGTGAAAGGAATTGTTTCCCTAATTTCTCTCTTAGTGAGTCTATTATTTGTGTACAAGAAGTTTATTGATTTTTGGTTGTTGACCTTGTATCCAGCTACTCTGCTAAAAGTGTCAATTAAGTCTAAAAGTCTTTTGGTAGAGTTTTTTGGGTCTTCAATGTAGAATATCATATCATTAGCAAATAATGACCGTTTAACTTCTTCCTTTCCTATTTTATTGCTTTGATTTCTTTCTCTTGTCTAATTGCTGTGGCTAGTGTTTCTAGAGCTATATTGAAGAAGAGTGGTGATAGTGGGTATGCTTGTCTTGTTCCTGATTTTACGTGAAGGTTTTCAGTTTTTGGCCATTTAATATGATGTTCGCTGTAAGTTTTTCATAGATAGCCTTTATTAAGTTGAGATATAGACTATCTATTCCAATTTTTGCAGGGTTTTTATTATGAATGGGTATTGAATTTTGTCAAATGATTTTTCTGCACCTATTGTGAGGATCATGTGTTTTTTTGTCCTTAACTTTGTTAATATAGTGTATTACATTTCTTGACTTACATACGTTGAATCATCCTTGCATTCCTGGAATGAATCTGACTTGGTCAGGATGTATGATCTTTTTAATGATCCTCTGTATTCTGTTTGTTAGTATCTTATAAAGGATTTTTTCGTCTATATTCATTAAGGAGATTGGCCTGTAGTTCTCTTTTTTAGCTGGTTCTTTCACTGGTTTGGGAATCAAAGTGATACTTGCTTTCAGGTCCATTGTACTTATTAAGGACATCAAAGTTAGCAAAACATGATCCAGACAGATACTGCATTTACACATAGAGCACACACAGCAAGATGATCCTCAATACTGAGTTTTTGTACTAGTGGTAGCTAGTCTCATTCTGTACTTAAGGGAAAATGATGGCGTGTATACATATTTCTTGGGTTTCATAAAGCTGTTCCTGCAACACAGTAACATATGTAGGAGTGGAACTGGCCAACTACTTTCTTTAACTTTACATTTGAATTTTTCAGTACATATTTGCAGTATTTAGATGATCCATTCATCTTTTGAAGTAGGCCCATGTACCTAATATAGTTTTTTTCTTTATTTATTAGTACATCTGTGTAGTGTGTTCTGCACACATGGCCAACTGTTTCAGTATAAAAATTGTAAACAAACCAAAATAAACGTTAAGATCAAACAGGAAAAAATTATTCGCAGTATAATCTGTGAGTTTTACTTATTCCCATATGAGAAAATGTTTCATAACAAGGTACACTCACTCTTATAGAGCCTTATAAGGGTCAAACAATTACCTTTTTGAAAAAGGTAGTAATTTTCAAAAATGAAAATTACATCCATCATGTCTTTCTTCAGTTAATATTGTTCCTTCCTGTTCAGATACACTATCTATCTATCTATCTATCTATCTATCTATCTATCTATGTGTGTGTGTATAAATA